CTCCCTGCCTCAGCCTCCCGAGTACGGGACTACAGGCACGAGCCCCATGCCCGGCTGATGTTGTATATTGATAATACCTTCAGGTTGGCCAATTAATTTCTTTCCTATTTTATGGTACGACGACGGGGTTCGTCGCTCAGGCCTCGGTTTTGACTTCTGACCTTGACAATGGAATATTCTTTTTTTTTTCTGAGACAGAGTCTTGCTTGTTGCCCAGGCTAGAGTGAGTGTCGTGGCGTCAGCCTAGCTCACAGCAACCTCAAACTCCTGGGCTCAAGCAATCCAGGGGGGGGGCGCTGCCACTCAGCCTCGGCCGAGTAAGCTGGGACTACAGCATGCGCCACCATGCCGACCTAATTTTTTCTATATATACTTAGTTGGCCAATTAATTTCTTTCTGTTTATAGTAGAGACAGGGTCTCACTCTTGCTCAGGCTGGTTCGAAACCCTGACCTCGAGCAATTCTGCCTGGCCTCAGGGCCTCCCAAAGATAGCAAAGGGAATTCCAGGTTTCTGACAAGTTATAAAAGGAACATGACCCGAAGAAAATAAAACTTAGAGAAGATTTCAGCTTATAAAAACACTTTTACCCCTTCTTGCTAATTTGTGCTCACATAACTTCAGCCTGTGCTTATGAAAGTTAGCTACCTGCTTACTTTCAAGCCACTCTAACAGTAGACTCTAAAAGACAGGAATGCATACCACTTCTGTACTGGTTTTTATACTGAACTACTAGCTCTGCATAACTTAGAAAGGAAGAGGGAAAGGGAGGGAGGAAAAAGAAAGGGTAAGAGACAAAGCTGTGAGTGCTAAAAGAGAATAATGAAGGAATAAACACAATGTAAAGGTTGGCCAGAAGAAGATAGGCTACCAAGGATATTTCACCAGTAAGAGGCAAAAATCAACTTATGAAGCAGCACTGATTTCTCATCTGTAAAATGCATTAAAACAACAAAGACCAAGTAAATCTGCTGCTCCTTAGAATTAATACTTTTAGGTATGATTCTCTTCATACCTGTACTATGCTATGCCTCACTGTTTCCTTCTAATTCTTATTTGATGAACATTATTAACAGTAAGAAACCTCATGTACCCTAAAGTAAAAACATGTTTTTGTGGGAAAAAACTTCATTTAAATGTCTTCATAGAGACCACTTATTACACTCAAATATGTGTGAACCCACTTTCTTTTAGACAATGAGAAACAGAAAGCAAGAAACAGATTAGGATGGAGATGAGAAAAAATATTTTAGGTTAATTCCTGTGAATTCAGGTGGTGTTATTAAAGTAGCCAAAGTATGTTTAGTAGATCAATCAGAACATTCAGTTATACAGTTTTAAGCTTACTCATTCCAAAATAGGTTTGTATAAAAGAGAGAAAACCCAACATTAAATGCCAAAATCAATACTTAATGGTTTGACATCTACAACAACATCACAATGCTGGTGCTTGTATTCAGCATTCCTACAAAGCTCTAAGAGGTCTGAAAGGGAGACCCTGTAGCAGATCTCTTCTTTCTACATTTTGCACATTATGTACCTCCAAAGCCAAGGCTGTCTTGTCGTAGGCATTAGGGACTCGCTTCTGGATAACCCTGGCATAAATGGGCCCATTCTGGAGGTTAGGGAGCGGAGTGTTGACGCTGGGTTGGGCATAGGGCCCAGGCTCCGGCCCACCCAGTGGCTGCAGGTGGGAACCCTCCTGGTTACCTCCAATCACAGCCGATACTGAGGCGGAGGCAGGTCTATACTTCTCGACGTAAGGGACTGGAATCATCCCCCTCTTGCCTTCGCTGTCCTCTGCATTCCACCACTGCTCTTCAGGCTTATCTCGGATTCTCAGGATGTCTCCTTTCTTAAAGGGAAGATCTTCTTCATCATTCCCATTAAAGTCAAAGAGGGCTCGCACATACTCTGCCTCCTCCTGCCTGAGAATCACTCCACTACCCTGCCTGGATCTGGAAACTGGTTCTATCAACGTTGTAGTGTCCAAATAGTGTATTTTGTAGAATTCCAGTAAAGCAGGCAATGAATCAAACTCTTGATCTCCTATTCGGAGTCTGGAGGGGCTCACCGCTGGAAAAAACAGAGCAGGGTATTATTTAAAGACGTACTACACTAGAGATGAAACGCAGATTTTATTCTTATTTTATTGTTTAGAGCCAGGTCTTACTATGTTGTCCAGGCTAGACTCGAACTCCTGGGCTTAAGCAACTCTCCCACCTCAGCCTCCTAAGTAGCTGGGACTAGAGGTGCATACCACCCTGCCCAGTAGAAGGCAGATTTTTAAGCATTTTACACACACATTTAGTCAATATTTAAGACGCCAAAAAAAAAAAAAACAAAAAAAACTATCTTAGAATAAAACAACCCCTTCTATTCACAGTATACCAACATCACACTTTGAAGCTGAAATATCCCCTAGAAAGAAAGATGTCCATCACCATTGACTCCAGAGAAGGAACAGAAGGCCAGGACAGTGGGCTCTCCTACTACAAAGACAGTACAACAAGGGGACTTTTTGTTCATTCTCCGAATATGTCTGTTGCTATCCCATATATACAGTAGCATCAGGTTCAAGGTTTTGTTGCAATCTGCTTTTCAACCTTAGGTAATGTAGCAAGCTCTCTTTTTCCAAAGATCCCAACAGCTGTTCCAGGAAGAGGTGAGGAGAGATTACCAGTACTGAGCTCATAGATCTCTTCCCTTCATATCTACAAGGTATAATTCCAAAGAAGAAGAACATTTGAAAACTATCCTTTTGACCTCAGACTGCTGATTTTAATTTCATCTCGGACAGCTAAAAGAGTTTAATTACGCAAAAGAACCAAGGAGCCAAAAAAGAGAAAATAAGAAGCTAACTGCTTAAAATTCAATTTCTAATGTCTTTACTTAAATAAAACATGGAAACCAGATTGTTTCCTATGAAGAAAACAGGGCATAAAAAAAAAAACAAGGATGGTTGGGGAAATAAAGAGATGTTAAAATATTCAACCTGTGACAACATACTGAAGATCCAAGACAAAGGACTTATTAGGAACACTTAAAATTCAAAAGACATAAATATGTATGTATAATAGCTCTAGACATAGGGCATACTTCAGAACATAATCCCTCTCTATCCCAAGATTCTAGAATTCAAGGATAACAAATGAACATATATACATATCAGTTCAAATAAGAAACAAAGTTTCTAATAAGGAATACAAACCTTTAACTTGCACTCTGCTAAGCATCCAAAATACCAAATTATCTTCATTGAATTTTTTACCTTTCAGGCTTCCTGATAAATACAAATTCTATCGAAATTTTGGGTTTTGTGGGGTCTTTTTGTTTTTGTTTTTTTTTTAAATCAGCCTTAACCCTGCCATAGGACCACACTTAGCATTTTGAGTTATTACATGCCTGAAATACATACACACACACACACACATATAAAATATATGGTTATCAAGTGTGAAATGTCCAATTTCCTTAAGTATGAAGTTCACAGTTAATATCTCTGACATTTCACTATGACACTTCTTGTTTTATTTTTATTGTGAAGGCACATCTCATTCTTTCAAATGCATGGTTTGGCTTGTGATTATCATTTTTTTTTTGAGACAGAGCCTCACTTTGTTGCCCAGGCTAGAGTGCTGTGGCATCAGCCTAGCTCACAGCAACCTCAAACTCCTGGGCTCAAGCAATCCTACTGCCTCAACCTTCCAAGTAGCTGGGACTTAAGGCATGAGCCACCATGCCCAGCTAATTAGTTGGCCAATTATTTCTAATATTTCCAATATTAGTTGGCCAATTAATTTCTTTCTATTTATAGTAGAGACAGGGTCTCACTCTTGCTCAGGCTGGTTTTAAACTCCTGACCTCAAGCTATTTGCCCTCCTCGGTCTCCCAAGAGTCTTAGGATTACTGATTATCTTTCAAATCTTTTTTTAGATAGATTTTTGTGAACCCATGGATAAGTCAAAAATTGGTTTTAATTTCAGATATAAGTTCCATCATGGAACAAATACAGCGCGAACAGCTCAAAATATCAATGAAGTGTTTGGCACGGATGTGGCTAATGAATGCACAGTACAGTAATGGTTTGAGAAGTTCCATTCTGGTGATTTTAATCTTGGAAATGAGCACGTGTGTGACCTGAGACCAAGGTGGATAATGATGAGCTGAAAGCTGCAGTAGAAGTGAATTCATCTCAACCTACCCATGAAATTAGCAACAAGGTATGACATTACTATTCCAACAATATTGGACCATTTGAGACAAATCGGCAAGGGAAGGCCAGGCACAGTGGTTCATTCCTGTAATCCTATCACTCTGGGAGGCCAAGGCAAGAGGATCACTTAACCTCAGGAGTTCGAGATCAGCTTGAGCAAGAGTGAGACTCCATCTCTACTAAAAATAGCAAAAACTAGCTGGGCAACTAAAAATAGTAAAAAAAAAAAACCTAGCTGGGCATAGTGGTGTGTGCCTATAGTCCCAGCCACTCGGGAGGCTGAGGCTGGAGGACCGTTTGAGCTGAGGAGTTTGAGGTTGCCGTCAGCTAGTCTGATGCCATGGCACTCTAGCATGCACAACATAGCGAGATTCTTGTCTCAAAAAAAAAAAAAAAATTAAAAAACAAAAATAAAAAGCCCAAATCAGCAAGGTAAACTAGATAGATGGGTTCCACACAAATTTAACGAGCTTCAAGAGATATCATTTCAAAGCTTGCCTTTTCTGGCTCTCATGACATAAAGGCAAACCATTTCTATACTGTACTGTTAGGTGTGATGAAATATGGATTCCTTTTGATAATCATTCAGCACAATGGTTGGATAAAGATGAAGTGAGGAAATAGTCCAAAACTGAATATTCATTCAAAAAAGCTAATGGGGCCGGGCGCGGTGGCTCACGCCTCTATACAGAGTAGAAAAATTAATTGGCCACTAATACAATATATATATTAGCCGGGCATGGTGGCGCTGCCTGTAAGTCCAGCTACTGGGCGAGGCTGAGGCAGAAGGATTGCTCGAGCCCCAGGAGTTTGAGGTTGCTGTGAGCTAGGCTGACGCCACGGCACTCACTCTAGCCAGGGCACAAAGCGAGACTCTGTCTCAAAAAAAAACCAGCCTGAGCAAGAGCGAGACCCCGTCTCTACTATAAATAGAAAGAAATTAATTGGCCAACTGATATATATATAAAAATTAGCCGGGCATGGTGGCGCATGCCTATAGTCCCAGCTACTGGGGAGGCTGAGGCAGAAGGATTGCTCGAGCCCAGGAGTTTGAGGTTGCTGTGAGCTAGGCTGACGCCACGGCACTCACTCTAGCCAGGGCAACAAAGCGAGACTCTGTCTCAAAAAAAAAAAAAAAAAAAAAAAAAAAGCTAATGGTATCCGTTTGGTGGTCCAGTGCTGGTATTATCCACGACAGCTTTGTGAAACTGGTCAATCATTTATAGCGATTTGTACTGCGACTGAATGGATTGAAATGATGAGGATGCTTGTGATTTAAGCAACTGGACCACATCTCACACAAACAATGCTGCTCAAACTACAGAGGCTAGACTTGAAAACTCCTGCCATCCACTATATTCACCAGACCCTGCACCAACTGACTACCACTTCTTACAAGGAAAAATATTCAACTCTCAACAAGCTACAGAAAAATGCGTTTGGCAATTTCACTGCCACTCAGTCTCCAGCTTCTTCACTGCTGGCATAAACAAACTTACATTAAGATGGCAAAAATTGTGTCGATAGTTTAGGTGCATACTTTAATTGTACTGCTTCCTTGTTTGAGATACAATAAACTTTTGATTTGAATTCAGACATTTCAGGTTTTAATGAGCTAAATAAAAAATATATATACAACGTGTATGTCACGTGTCTATGTAATACATATGCCTTTCTTTTTTTAGACAGGGTCTCACTGTGTCGCCCAGCCTACAGCGGCGTGATCATTCTTACTGCACCTCAAACTCTGGGATCAAACAATCTTCTGCTTAGCCTCCCAAAGTGGCTGGTCTACAGTTTATGTGCTACCACATTCAGCTATTTTATTTTTTATAGAGATGAGGTCTCACTCCATTGCACAGGCTCGCCTTAAATTCCTGGGCTCAAGCAATCCTCCCACCTAGGCCTCCCAAACTGCTGGGATTACAGGTGTGAGCCACCACAACCAGCATATATGTCATTATAACCTAGGTTACTATACATAGTTTTATATCTTGCCTTCTTTTGTCTTCTTTTCCTATTTATACTTCAAGAATATGACTTGCTAATTTTCTTTTTTTTTTTTTTTTTTTTGAGACAGAATCTCACTTTGTTGCCCAGGCTAGAGTGATGGCTGTGGCATCAGCCTGGTTCCACAGCACTCAAACTCCTGGGCTCAAGCGATCCGTTCTGCCTCAGCCTCCCAAGTAGCTGGGACTACAGGCATGCGCCACCATGCCCGGCTATATTTTTTCTATATATATATATATATTATATTGGGCCAATAATTTCTTTCTATTTATAGTAAAGACGGGGTCTCGCTCTTGCTCAGGTTGGTTTCAAACTCCTGAGATCAAACGATCCACCTGCCTCGGCCTCCCAGAGAGCTAGGATTACAGGCGTGAGCCACTGCGCCCAGCCTGTTAATTTCTTTTTTTTTTTTTGAGAAAGGGTCCTCAGTTTTGCCAGCCTGGAGTGCACTGGCTATTCACAGGTACAATCATAGGACACTAAAGCCCTGAATTCCTGGCTTCAAGTGATTATCCTACCTCAACCTTCCAAGTAGTCTACTGGTATATACCACTGTGCCCCGCCCAGCTCCAAGAACATGACTTTAGCCATTAGCTATGGAGTATACAGTCATTGACAATAAAACAATTTTTAAATTTCATTAATCCAGCAATGCTATTATGAGCATAAAACTATTAAGATTTTTTTTTTTTTTTTTTTGAGAAACAGATCTTCACTTTGTTGCCAAGGCTAAGTGAGTGCCGTTGCGTCAGCCTAGCTCACAGCAACCTCAAACTCCTGGGTCCAAGCGATCCTCCTGCCTCAGCCTCCCAAGTTAGCTGGGACTACAGGCATGTGCCACCAAGCCCTG